TATCGATATCGTATCGAACTCGTTTCAATACCATTTCGATATTATTATCGATATCGTATCGATATCGTATTTACATCAAAATGATATAGTAAAGATAAACTTAACGACCTCGATTCGATTATCGTCAAAGTATGGTAAAGTTATCGTAATGATATAGATTCGATATCGAATCTATATCATTAGAATTTTTTGAGTTTCTGTAAAGTACATGCAAATTTTTGAATCATATCCTAATATATAATACAAGTAATTATATAGTATTAAAATAATATAAAGAAATAATATAAAATTATATTTACTTAATAAATTTCTTCTGACTTTTCTCTCCTTTATTTTTATTACTTTTACTTCAATTTCAGCCTGAACATAGTTTTTTTAACCTTGATAATATTTGCATAATCTGATTCTTTTGTTTATTTATTATAACTTCTAGTATTTTTTTGATTTTCCATCATTAAATTAAGTTTTGTTAAATTATTTTAACCAATCTTAATCAATTTGGTCGATTCATACAAATTAGTAATATCTGCCTAAACTTATTTTTAAAAAATTGCAGTTTTGTCAAAAGAATTTATTTCTTTAATATTTTTATATGAATAAATATAAAATTATTATATTTTTTAATATATTTTAATTTAAGGAATTTAAATCAAGTTAAATATAATTTCAGCAATTAATTAAAATAGTTTTAACATTAATAAAAAACTAGTTTTTAATTTCAGTTTTATCAATTTCGTCATATTAAGAAAGGTAATTTTGTCAGATACCACTAGGGTTCTACAATTTGATTTGATATTTAAATATTTGATTTGAAAATTAAATCAAATACAAATACAAATTTATATTTGATTTGATTAGATCAATTTAAATCAAAAAATGATTTATTTGATCAAATCTAAACTAATGTTTGATTCAATTTGATCAAATTCAAATCAAGTATTCAAATATTTGATTTGATTTGAATCAATAATAAACCATCTCCAAAGCTTCAAGAGTGGCTCCTATTAAGAAAACCATAGTAAAAAGTACCTCTGCGGCTTTAGAAATACCTTTTTTACTAAAAAATCATATTAAAAAGCACCTCTTTAGCTTTAAAACTATAGCAAAAAGTGCTTCTGCAGCTTTATAAATACTTTTTATACTAAGAAAACCATAGTAAAAAGTGCCTCTGCAGCTTTGAAAATGCCTTTTTACTAATAAAAATATAGTAAAAATGCTTCCGCAGTGTTTTTTACTAAGAAACCTAGACAATTATTGAAAAACATCTAAATGTTTATTATTGATAATCAACAATATCGAAAAATATTCACATGTCAAATAATGAATTATTTAAAAAATATATTTATTAACAAAATATTCATTTTCGTAATTATTTCTTGGTATAATATGTACTGTCATATCTACTGAATCTAGATACACACATGTATATTGATCAATTATTTGTAATCTTGAACATCCATACACTTTATCTATTTCATCATATTATCTTAATAAAATAAGATTTGTTGGTGGTTTTAAATTCTTTGTAAAAAATTCTAATAATAAAAGTGCCTAAAAATTAAATTGATAATGAAAGTTATATAATTTACAATGAAAAAATTATATTTTATAATGAAAAAATTAAAATATACCTTTCCATACCATATAGTTTCTTCATTGGAAGAAATTGCAACGTCGCTAAACCATTCATTTGCATAATAACTTCTGATGTTTGAATTATATCTGTTGATTTAATATATGCACTTGAATATATCTTAAAATATGCTGAATTTTTATCACAGATTATTTCTTTTACAGTTAAAAATTCTTTCAACCCTACATGAAAAATTTTAAACCTTTTTTATACAAGGAATTGATGTTGTTATCCTGCATTATTTGAAAAACTTTTGAATCAAGTTCGCTAAATTTAAACTCTCATAATAGTTTATTAAATCCGCTAGATTTTCTCATTTTAGGCAACTTTTGTTTGGAGACTACATATTGACATCGTATCTATTAAAAAATATATGCATAATAACGTTAATAGATTGAGTTGTATTGTTATTATAAAATAAATGCATCAATATACAGTCGTCCTCCTATATAGTCACCTCTTATATGATCACACCTTCTCTTTAATCACATTGATCTACAGTCCCAAATTTTTTTATATATAAATGACTCCTATATAGTCACAA